GACTAGTCTTCAAACAAAAAAACCCCCGAAACCCAAAACTCTGCACTCCACGTGGGTTTCAGTGAGTTGGGGAGTGTTTTAACCTCATGGTGACATCCAAACGTTCTCTTTTACATGTCTAGGAACTCTGATGGACACATTCTGGCTAATATATTGAACAGAAAACTAAAAGGGTGAAATGTGTATGGAGAGATATTTAAACTCATTCCTAATTATAAGAATAGGAATTAAATAACAATGAGATATCACTTAATATAAGACTGGCCAAAATAGCTCCATGATGCCAAGGGGTGGTGGAGGGGCGTGGGAATCAAGGAGACCTAGGTGACCCAAAGGTGGACGCTCACTGTGGAGAACGGGGCAGCCACTTCAAGCAGTGGACTAGCCATACACATAGCAACGTGAAAGGATCTTGAGAATATAGTGCCAAGAAGAAAAACAATAAGAGTTTTAACTCAATACCATTTCTATAAGTTGGAAAAACAAAACAAGACACAGTCTTTTCTAAAAGAATGAAAATGTAGACATTAAACAACTTACAATGGTTGCTTGATGGGCAAGGGAAATAGAAATAAAAAACAATAGTATTTGTATATATTTGCAATGAGCAATCTCAAAATTAAGAAAAACAATTCCATTTACAATAGCATCAAAAAGAATAAAATATTTAGAAATAAATTTAACAAAAGGAATACAATATATACTCTGGAAACTAAAATACTGCTGAAACAAATTTACGAAGATCTAAATAAATGAAATGGAAAAAAATCCTGTCTTAGTCTATTTGGACTACCATAACAATACCATACACTGAGTGTCTTAAACAGAAGTGTATTTCTTACAGTTCTGGAGGCTGGGAAGTCCAAGATGATGGTGTGGCTGATTTGGTTTCTGGTGAGGGCTCTATTTCTGCTTTGCAGAAGGACACCATCTTGCTGTATCTTCACATGGCAGAGAAAGAGAGATTTCTTGCCTTTTCTTTCTTTCTTTCTTCTTCTTCTTCTTCTTTTTTTTTTTTTTGAGACAGAGTCTCACTCTGTTGCCTGGGCTAGAGTGCTATGGCGTCAGCCTAGCTCACAGCAACCTCAGACTCCTGGGCTCAAGCAATCCTACTGCCTCAGTCTCCGAGTAGCTGGGACTACAGGCATGCATCCACCATGCCCAGCTAATATATATTTATTTATTTATTTATTTATTTTTAGTTGTCCAGCTAATTTCTTTCTCTTTTTTTAGTGGAGACATGGTCTCGCTCTTCCTCAGGCAGGTCTCGAACTCCTGAGCTCAAATAATCCACCTGCAGCCTCCCAGAGTGCTAGGATTACAGGTGTAATCCACCACACCCAGCCTCCTGCCTTTTGTTATAAGTGTACTTATCCCATTCATGAGATCTCCCCCTTATGACCTAATCACCTCCCAAAGCCCATACCACCAAATACCATCGCATCAGAGTTTAGACCTCAACATATGAATTTTGGAAGGATACAAACATTTAGTCCATAGCACATCCAAGAACATGTTCATAGATTGGAAAACTTAACAGTGTTAAGGTGGCAGTACTCCCCAAATTGATCTAAAGATCCAATACAATTCATATCATCAGCTGACTTCTTTATAGAAATTGATATGTCGATTCTAAAATCATATGGATTTGCAAGAGACCATAATAGCCAAAACAATCTTGTAAAAGAAGAACAAAGTTGGAGGGATCTTATGTAGATTGACAAGGGCCTGTGTACTAAGGGTCTCTGTACTGAGTCTTTCCACCCCTAAAAGAGGAAGTGGGTCCTGTAGAAGCTGGATGAGTCCTCTCCAGCAGAAAGGCCAGAGGTGCACGTTAGGGGTCTCAGCTGGGCCTCATGGCGAGACTGGCGACTGGCTGGAGATGCCAAATCCACAGGCATTAGGCCTGGGCAGGTTCTGGTATGGCTAGTGGGCTAGTTTTTCCAGACTAGCACTGTTTCACTACAGAAAGAGAGTGGCCCGGTCTCCCTCTGTTGAGCGAAGCACCCAGGCCCAGGACACATGTCATACCACTGACGTGAGTTGGGGACAGGTGGGTGGCAGATGTGCCCCTTCAGGCTTCATTGTCACCTGATTGGCTGGAAGAATAGCCTGGAAGCAAGGACCCCCATCCCACAACAAGGGGAAAGTGGAGGGCTCGCCATGCATATGGGCCTGAGGCAGTGCCAGTGAAGTCCCTCTGCTTGTGTTCTGGACACAATCTAGGAGTAGGCTGTCGCTTAACACAGCTGAGCCTGCTGTCAGTCTCCAATCTGGGACCTCGGGGAGGCCCAGGGGCGTCCCAAGTTACACTTGCCCTCTTGTTCTCAGTCTGGAGACACCTCTCTCCCCGTGGTGGATTTGACACTCGGCAAGGTGAAGCCCCGCTGAAAGCTGGAGCTCAGGCCACTGGGACCGCATGGCGGGGAGGAAAAGGCAGGGCTTCGGCATTCGACAGACTCAGGTCCAGGGTTTGGACCTGCCACCTACTAGCTGTGAGATCTTAATAAACTACCTTCTGCTATAGATCAAATGTTTGTGTCCCCCTAAAATTCACATGTTACATTCTAATGCCCAACATGATGGTATTTTAAGGTGGGGCCTTTGGGAGGTGACTAGTTCATGAGGGTACAGCCCTCATAAATGGGATCAATGCCTTTATAAAAGAGGCCCCAGAAAGATCCTTCTCACCTTCCGCCACATGAGGCTGCAGTGAGAAGACTGTTATCTAAGAAGCAGACCCTCACCTGACACCGAATCTTCTGGCACCTTGACCTTGGACTTCCTGGCCTCCAGAACTGTGAGAAATAAATTTCTGTTGTTTATAAGCCGCCCAGTCTACGGTGTTTTGTTACGGAAGCCCGAACGGACTGAGACGCCTCCACTTCTGATCCTGTTTCCTCATCTACACATGCAGAGGAGGGGTACTCTTATAGTGCCATCAGGCCACAGTAACACATGGGACTTCGCTTCCCCTCTCCCGGGGACTTGGAGTAGAGGCAGCCTCTGCAGACGGGATTGTACTAGCTCGGACTGCTTCCCCCGCTCTCATGTAATGCCTGATGAATGCAGTTCTGGAGGCAGAAAGGCAGAAACAAAATTCGCATCCATGTTCCTGCTGGGGTGAACGTAGCTCAGGGGAGCTCCCTTGTCCACTTTAGGCCAGTGTCTTAAAGAAATGGTGCCCTGGGATGGAGGTAGCACGGTCAGTGGGCAAGAGCACCTGGGGTGGGGGCAAGGAGGGCATGTTCCCTCTATGCTGCCCCTCAATAGCTGAAGGTTTCCAGCTCCTCCCTAAGCCATAAGGCTGGGAGGCTCCCTCAGAGTTGGTGGAGAGCCTAGGACCAGTGGCCCTGATTTTCTGGGACCAAGTAGGTATTCTTGTGGCCAGCAGGTGGCGCTGAGCCCTCAGTTCTGCCAGCTTCAGCTTCACTGTCACCGGCAGTTTAAGGTCCATGAAAGGGTAGAGGAAGGTTACTCTGGATGGTGCGGGCAGGAGCTCCTCATTAGTGAATCTGGGCCCTCCCCCTGGCCTCTAGGACAGCCATGCTGAGTCACAAGAGCCAGTCTCCTAGAACCCTGGGCTGACCCCTTCATCCTCAACCAGAAATGAGTCAGCTCTGCAAGGAAGGGAACCAACTCTGGAACAGCCTGGGACAGACCCTCTCTGATCCAGCTGAAGCCCAGGCCTCACACTGTAGCATGCCCCCGGCTTGTCGTGTACATCATCCACCCATCCACCATTCGTTCATTTGTTCATTCAATCAGTACCTACTCAGTGTCAGGCACAATGCTGAGTCAGATACAGTCCCTGACCTCAAGAAGCCATGGACTTGGGGATGGGGAGACAGACCCATAAACACAGACAAAAGGAGAATGCCCATAGTGCAGGGGAGGGAAAGGACCATCTTTTTCCAGAGAAATCAGGGAGGGCTTCAAGGAGGCATCATTTGGCCTGGAGTTTTATGGATTTCAACAGAGATGAGGCCTGGGCAGTCCAGGCAAGGCAAAGTCTGGGAGGTAGGAAGCTCCATGTTACATGCAAGGAGGGGACAGGATAGGAGGCACCTGGGGAAGCAGGTGGGTGAGTGCAGAGTCCTGGCAAGAGAACAGTGTGGGCTATAAGGCTGAAAAGGTGGCCTCAGCCTGAAATGGCTACAACGTCTAGCATCCTCCGGGAGGTGGTGGGGGACTACGGAAGGTGTTCCACGCAGGAGGGAAGGACCAGCCCTTCTAAGGCCAGCCTGGAGGCTGCGTGGCAGATGGGCCTGCAGGGTGGGATGAGGGGCAACCTGGCGACAAGGAGACCAGGTACCAGGTGCTGCCACAGCCCCTGTAGTCATGGTCTGAGCCGGGAGAGGGCACTGTGTAGAAGGGAAGACCAAGCAGAGAAACGCATTCCTGAAAGGAAATAAAAAAGCATCTTCTCTCTGAAGGTTTGGTCAGTTTTCTCATTATGTGGCTGATTCAGCAGCAATCACAATAGTTAACATTTATTGAGCACTTGTAGACCAGGCACTTAAGCATTGTACATATGTTTTCACTTACTCCCACAACAATTCTATGAGGTAGGTACTATTAGTATCTTCATTTAATAGATGAGACACAGAGGGTTAAGTTACTTGGCCAAAGTCATATAGCTAGAGCCAGGATTCGAACCCAGGCAGTTGGCTTGAGAGTTCATGCTTCAATCACTACACTAATGCCTACAACATCCCCACTTCCTCCCCAGCACCCCAGCCTCCCAGCAGATCCCTGGGAGTGAAGGCAGACCCGGGGCTATAAAGGCTAGTAGGTGCCCAAAGATTGAGATGCTGGGCCATCTGAGGCAATAGGGGAATGTCCCCCTGAGCTGGGGGAAGAGGAGCCAGCACCAGGTCCCTTCCCTGGCCTCCCTGCTAGGGTCCATAACAGCTCTTGAATGTGGGGTGGCAGCCGCCAGCCCCTGCCCCTCCCTTTCCCCGCATGCTCACTGCTTCCCCAGCAAGAACAGCCCAGAGTTTAGGTCATGAAGAGGGAGGCTTTATTGACAATGGAGAAGGCAGAATTCTGGGCAAGTACATGCAGCCCTGCTCCAAGAGTCCAGGCTGGAGTCAAGCCCGTCAGGACTAAGGGCTTTTTTGCCTCAAGGACCTCACTCACTCTCACCATCCTGAACTTTCCATCACCTCCTTTTCCAGCAATCTCAAAACACTCAGCCCCAAGGCCATCCTCTGGACAAAGTAAGTAGCAGCCACCAGTGGGGAGCCAGGACCAGAGTTGGGGCCATCATTGTGGTGGGCATGGGACCCCTCTCCCCAGCCTCTGGGGACAGAACAGGAGGGGGCAGGCACAACAACCCCAGTCCAGGGGGCTGCCCTCGCTGCAGGAGGCTGGTGTTGGGGGCAAAGGGCAGGGGCATCTCCTCCCCATGCCTGAGCAAGGCTCTGCAAAGCTGAACCTCTTCATGTCACTCTCCCCTGCTGCCTTCCCTCCCTGTCCTGAGCCTGCCCCACAGATGAGGCCCTGTCAGCCTCGGCCTGTGCCCACCCATGTAGGCTTCGCAGCTCTAGCCCTCCTCTCTCATCTACTGTCCTCCCTGGCTGCCCAGGCCCAGCCCTTAGCCCAGAGCTTTTTCAGGGACCAGGCGGGGCTGGGGCCTGACCACAGGCATTTCTTATGGTCACAGAAACAGGGCATCAGGCCTCCAACCTAGGGGCTGTTCTTCTACAGCCACCTGCCCAGCTTGTGGCCAGTCGATCATGGGGACCCAGGACTGGCTGGGGACCCAGCTTTAGAGCCCAGCACCCCCCACGGCCTCCCCAGCTTTGGGTGAGGGGAGAGGGGCAAGCCAGTCCTGAGCAGGGGCTGGGAGGAGCAGGGACAAAAATAACCCAGTACAGGCTCCTGCTGAGGCCAGAAATAGCGTAGTGACAAGTGCCTTGTAACACCCCGGGTGAGCAGCAGGGGGAAGCGGAGCTGAGGAGGCCCAGCCTCACAATAGGCCCAGGCCTGGCTGAGGGGCCGTCCACACTACATACCATCCCACTCTGCCGTGTGCACACACGCATGTGGCAGGTTCAAGGGACCACGGCTCAGGACAGGGAATCCGGAGCGATGCTAAACCTGGGCTTGGCCTTGGCCACGGCCACGCTGCGCTTGCGCAGTGGCCCTCGGGCTGAGGCAAGGGTCAGGGCGTCCAGCAGGCTGCGGTCCTCATCCAGCTGGCGGGCTGTGCAGAGTGGCGTGGGCACTTTAATGGTGTTGCCGAACTTGGAATAGTCCACGGAATAGCGTCCATCCTCCTCAGCCACAATGGGGACAAAGCGCTGGCCCCACAGGATCTCGTCCGCCAGGTAGGAGGTGCGGGCCTGGGTGGTGATGCCTGTGGTTTCCACCACGCCTTCCAGGATGACGATGATCTCGAGGTCCTGGTGGTGGTGCAGGTCGCCGGGCGCCAGGTCGTAGAGCGGGCTGTTGGCATCGATGACGTGGTAGATGATGAGGGGCGCCACCAGGAAGATGCTGTTGCCTCCCATGCCGTTCTCCATGGGGATGTCCACCTGGTGGAGGGGCACCACTTCGCCCTCTGGGCTGGTGGTCTTGCGCACCACCTGCATGTGGATGGTGGCGCTGATGATCATGCTCTTGCGGAGGTCGCCCACCCGCAGCATGAAGCAGAGGCGGCCGTGGCGCAGGGCGATAACGGCGTGCTTGCTGAAGATGAGGGTCTCGGCCCTGCGGTGGGCCTGTGCGGTCTTCATGAAGATGCAGCCCAGCATGATGGCGTTGATCATGAGCCCCACGATGTTCTGCACAATGAGCACCAGGATGGCCAGGGGGCACTCCTCGGTCACCATGCGTCCACCAAAACCAATGGTCACCTGGACCTCGATGGAGAAAAGGAAGGCAGATGAAAAGGAGTTGATGCTGGTGACACAGGGCTCCCCGGCGCCCTCAATAGGGGCCAGGTCGCCGTGGGCGAAGGCGATGAGCCACCAGGCCATAGCGAAGAGTAGCCAGCTGCACAGGAAGGACATGGTGAAGATAAGCAGCGTGTGCGGCCACTTGAGGTCCACCAGCGTGGTGAACACGTCCTGCAGGAAGCGGCCCTGCTCCCGAATGTTCTTGTGGGCCACGTTGCAGTTGCCTTTCTTGGACACAAAGCGGGCCCTCCGCTCTCGGGCACGGTACCTGGGCTCCGCGGGGTCTTCTGCCAGGCGTGTCAGCACATACTCCTCAGGGATGATGCCCTTGCGGGACAGCATGGCTCTAGTGACCCCCAGAGGGGGGCTTTCCCCATGGGGGGCACCCCTGACCTGGCCTAGGACCTCACTGTGGCGTCCCCTCCTTGGGCACACTCCCACCCTGGGGCCACCCTCAGCCTGTGCTGGCCTCCCTTCTGAGATTCCAAGCTTCTTTCTCTCCTACACCTTGATCCTGCTTCACTTCTTTCTGTCAGCTTCACACTTCACCCCACCTGCCCATTGCCTACTGAGCCCCCAACCCCGCCTGCTCTCACCTGGTCCCCTCCCAGCTCTCCTCCACCAGCTGAGAACCCCTGGGCCCCGCTAAGACTCCCTCTCCCCACCCAGCCCTAACACCCAACTTAACACCTCCGGATCTTTCCAACTAGCCAGACCTCATACAACCCCCACCGCGTCTCCTGCCTCACCCATTTCGGTCCCCGGCTGCCCTCCAAGCTCCAGCTTCATGTCCTCACCACCCCCAGTCTCTTCTGCAGGTATGCCCCCTATTTCCTACCCCACCCGTCCCGTAGCGTCCCCGCCGTTCTTCGAATCCCTCTCCAGCGCTCGTCCTCTCTGTCTCCTTGGGCTCCTGCGCCCTCCGGAGTCACCGCCCCACCCGGCTCAACTTCGGACCCCCTCGGCCCCCGCACGACCCGGCCGGGCTCGCTCCAGGTCGCGGCCTCTCGGCTCCCAGCAGGCGCCAGCCCGCGCCCCCGCCCGCGCCCGGCGCTCCGTCCCCGCCCCGCCCGCTCGTCGTCGCTGCACCTGCTCCTGCTCCTCAAGCCGCAGCCGTCGCCTCCCCGCCCCCTCCCGCCGCCGTGGGGCGCGCGGCGTGCTGTGCTCGCGTTTCGTCGGTCCGTCTGCGGGTCGGTGGAGACCGACCTGTGCTGGGTGGGGGTAGAGGACCGCGTGCTGGGGGCGCCCGAGGAGCGGAGCGGGGCCGAGGGGCCGGGGACCGCCAGGGGGCGCCCGACCTATTCCTGAGCGGGAGAGGGGGCGGGGACAGGCGCAAGCCCCGCCCCTCGCCTCGCCCTACCTCCCCCAACCCCCATACCGCCTTCCTTCTCTGGACTCGCAAGTCTGGCGTTGGGGGTTTGTCAAATCTGATGGATCAAAAGAGGTTCCTTCTGCCCACGCCCCATGAAACTGGGGTGCGAGGAGAGAGCTGTGACCCCGCGCCCCCTGTCTGGGGATCGCAGCCCCTGTCGCCCTGGCACCCCTCCTCCAATATTCCCATCTGTATTTGGGTCAATATCCGCCTCTAGCGCAGCGCTGGGTTTTGTGGGTTCCCGGGGAGAGGAGGCACCGAGGGGCTGCCGGAAATTAGGTGACCCAGGACTTCTCCACTGACAGCTTCTTCCCTTTGGAGGATGCTCTTCGTCTTTTCTCAGTCCTGAATCTTTTGAGAATCTGATGAAAGCTTAGATTCCCTCCCATTAAAAAAAAAAAAGTATCTCAGTAGGTGTAGGGACACAGTTTAACATCTACTACAGGGGATTCGAGATGCTGCAGCCAGAACCCTGGGCGGTTCCATCTTCTCAATCACGACCATCCCTACTTTATTTATCTATTTATTTAAGAGACAAGGTCTGGCTCTGTCGCTCAGGCTGGAGTGCAGTGGCACGGCCCCATCACGAGTCACTGCAGCCTCGAACTCCTGGGCTCCAACGATACTCCCCCCGCCTCTGCTTCCTCTGTAGCTGGGACTACAGTCGCCCCACCATGCCTGGCTAATTTATTTAACATTTTTTAAAGAGATGGGGTCTTGCTACGTTGCAGAGGCTGGTCTTGAACTCCTGGGCTCATGTGATCCTACCACCTCAGCCTCCCAAAGTGCTGGAATTATAGGCATGGGCCACTGTACCTGGCTCATCACTACTTTAAAGAGGGTTTGAGCTGCCGGCACCTGCTTTGCACTTCCTTACACCTGTAGCCTGATTTCTTCCACCTTAGGTGATGATTCCATTAGAGGTATCTAGGTCTTAGTATGTGTATTAGGGCTGGCTTGGGTACTGGGGGACCCAGGCTCTTGGCCCAGACATGGTGCACGCATCAGCCTAAGGTTGCCCTGTGGCTTGTCCCTCCAGTTCTCAGGTGGGAGGAAAAGACTGCTAGGTCTTTTTAGGAACACTAATGACTCCACCCCTTCTGTGGGGCTCAGATCCTCATGGAGAAACCCCTGACCAGTGTGTGACCGTTTTTTGGAGTGGGGCTTAGAGGCGGAGGCTGCAAAGGTAGGGAGCGTGGGGCTGTGGGCCACAGAGGGACAGGGCATGGCTTTCATACTGGGTTTTCTTTTCTCTCCCATACCCACCTGCAGGCTGAGTGAATACCACTACAAAGGGTGAGTGTCATCTTGGGCTGTATTAATAGAGGTGCAGTGCCAAGGGTGGGAAGGGTGAAACAGGATGAGCACAGTGGGGGGCAGAAGGAGATAGGGTTACATGGGAAACTTCTGAGGCAACTACAGCTGTTTAGCTATCAGAAAAGGAGCCTTGGAGAGTCCCCCAAGGTCTTTGGGCACTATTGCAGAAACACTCGAGGTTGTAGGAGGATGGACTAGTAGTTTTGTGTGGCCCAAAGGACAGAACAGAGTGGAACGGAGGCAGGCTTTGATTTCACATATGCAAGAGTCAGTTCTCATAACAACAAGGAAAGATGGCCCACCAAGGCTGGTTGCCCATCAGGGATGTTACAGAGGGATTTAGGCCAGGATGGCCTTGGGCATCCCTGTGACACTTCACTGTGGGCCCTGCCCTGCCCCCTGCTACGTCCTTTCAGTCCCTCGGGTGGGGTGGCTTTGGGGTAGTGTTAGCCATGTGGCTGCTCCCTGTCTCTGCTTCTGGGAGACCAGCAGTGGAGGGAGCTACTCCCCCCCAACCCCCGGGCTTCTCAGAGCTGGAAAGGCCAGGGCCTGACTCTAGGTGTGGCCCTGAGGCCTCAGCTGTTCCCTGCTCCACCCTTCTAGGGGAGTGAGTCCCGCACCCAAAGGACTCAGTCTTCTGCTCTGCTCCATCCTGCACGTGCGCATGCTCATCTCTCTAGACACTGCACTTGGCAGGTCCCTTCTTGCTCAAAACCCTTTTCCACTCCCCTTTTGTCCATAGGTTTATCTCACACTCCTTGTCCTGCCATTCAAGGCTCTTTGACTTGCTGCCTCCCTGCTGCCCTCATCTCCCTCCCACCTCCCTGACCAGCCATCACTCCCTAGCTCTTGCTGCCCCACCTCCACGCAGCCCTTTTTTCTAACCCTCTGCCTATCCTATTGCTCCCATGCCCACTTCAAATCCTGCCTTTCCCAGGCAGCCTGCCTGACCTCACAGAGTTCTTACTTTCTGAGCTCCCTTGCCTCCTGGAACATCTAGGACCCCATTAGAGGGGTCTGTGGTGGGTGCCCCCCTCTAATGACTGGTGGGTTTTCCTTATGTTGTGTATCTCTCACCCCCTTACAGCCAAGAGGAATGCAGGCCCAACTGCTAGATCAATCCCCACAAGGCCTGGTACAGCCAGTGTTGCAGGTGCTATACAAATGATAATTAAATGAGATGTAGGCCAGGCACAGTGGCTCACACTTGTACTCCCAGCACTTTGGGAGGCTGAGGCCAGAGGATAGCTTGAGCCCAGGAGTTCGAGATCAGCCTGGGCAACATAGTGACACCCTGTCTCTACCAAAAAAAAAAAAAAAAGAGAGAGAGAGAGAGATGTACACAAGCACCTGCCATTTCTTGGCTGAGTGCAGGTGTGTACTCTTGTTTTCTGATGCAGACAACATCAGGGCAGTTGTTTTGGTCTCCCTGCTATCTGGGCCCCAGCATCTCCCAGCCACATCTGACTAATTTGTGATACGTGCACTGTGCTTACCCTCTGAAGGACTATCCTTCCCCCACTTCTGGGGGACAGAAATGGGGACATGTGATCCAGGCCTAGCCAGTCAGTGTATTCTAGTTTTTTGACCACAGTGATTGGGTGGGGATGAAGATGTGACCCAAGTTTGTCCCTTGAGATTTGCTCCCAAGATTTTTGCTGGAACTATTGGGAAAGAGCATCTTTTTTTCCTCTTGGGTTTCCCTGGAGTAGGATGTAAACTGGAGCTGCTAGTACCCATCTGTCATCCGGGAGGGAGAGGAGCATGGATTCCAGAAATGGAGACACATCCCTGATGTCAAACACCTGGATCTGGCCACCCCTGAAGTAGTACACCTCTTGGCCTTTTCAGTCACATACTGCACTAAATCCAAGATTTTGTTTTAAGCCACTATGAGTTGGGTTCCTGTCATTTGCAATGAAAACCGTGCTAATCCAGGGTACCCAGGCCCCACAATTTTAATCCAAGAGTGCAAGTGAGAAGAAAGGGGACCAAGCTATATGGAAATCTGTTAACTTATCTGAAGAGGTCGTGACAGAAACTCTTGCTATGGACTGAAGTGTGTCCCCCCAGATTCACAGGTTGAAGCCCTAACCCCCAATGTAACTGTATTTGGAGATAGAGCCTGTGAGGAGGTAAGGTTCAGTGAGGTCCTAGGGATGGGGCCCTAATCCAATATGACTGGTGTCCTTATAAGAAGAGAGAGAGACTGACAGACCCCAGGGATGCATGTGCACTAAGGAAGGGCCATGTGAGGACACAGCGAGAAAGTGGCTGTCTGCAAGCCAAGGAGGGAGCCTTCAGGAGAAACCAAATCTGCAGCACCTTGATCTTGGACTTCAGCCTCCAGAACCGTGAGGAATAAACTTCTGTTGTTAAAGCCACCCAGTCTGTGCTATTCTGTTGTGGCAGCCTGAGCGGACTAATACAGCCCCCTGTTCACAGATGAGGAAACATATGCAGACCCCGCTCAGAGGTCTGCCTGATGCCAAGGACGGGCTGGCTCTACCGTACCCACTGTCCACTGCCAGCCGCTACCCCCAGACTCAGGGCCTCCCATAGCAAATAACCAATCTCTTTATTTACAAGTGATTTACAGTTAGAAAACCCAGGCAGGGGGTGGGGCAGGGTGGGCGTATGGGATGGCACTTGGGCTCTGGCAGGTTACTTGTCTGCACGGACGAAGGAGGCGAAGACACTGTCCTTCTGGCTGAGCAGCGTGTCTGGCTTGTCGAACTCAAGGATGGCACCACGCTTGAGGACAATCACCAGGTCTGCACTCAGGATGGTGTGCACTCGGTGCTGGGGGTGGGAGGGCTGGTCAGGATGGTGCGAGGGGAAGGGGCTGGCAGCTGAGGGCATCCCTCCCGCAGCTTGGAGGAGGAGGTAGCATGTGGCCACAATGTCCTGTCTCTGTGGCGACTGCCCTTCCTGGGGTGGCTGTGACTCCAAACCCTCTATCCACTAATACCACCCTTCTTCACTCTCCAAGTCCCACCTCTGCCCCACCACCAGTTTCAAGACTCAGAGACCCCTCTCCACCTCCTACGGAGAAGTCACCCTAGCCTAGCTCATGGGGCCTTGGGATGGGGCAGACTGTGTACCCTGGGGAAAGAGAGGAGGGGAGGGGAGGTCTGAGGGAAGTGCAGGTGCAAATCTGCCCCCCCCCACACCCCAATTCCTGCAACCCAGGCTCCCTGCAGGCCCTCCAGACTCCTTGCCCTGTAGGGCATCCCTCCTGCAGCCCCAGGGTCCTTTCTTAATTACTGGAACCAGGTGAGCCCTCTCTTTGGGTGTCCCCTGCACCCCAGCAATGGGCCCCTTACCGCAATGGTGACCACCGTGCG